TAGAAAAGGTAGAGTATACACATTTTGTCTTCGAACCAGTAATTATCTGTGTTTTAATAAGTAGATTTCTATTAGAAAAGGTAGAGTATACACATTTTGTCTTCGAACCAGTAATTATCTGTGTTTTAATAAGTACATTTATATTAGAAAAGGTAGAAAGATTTTATACATTTTGTCTTCGAACCAGTAATTATCTGTGATTTCATAAGTAGATTTCTATTAGAAAAGGTAGAAGGATTTTACACATTTTGTTTTTGAAGTAGTAATGATTTACGCATTTATGAGTAGGCTTTACTACATTTATTAAAATAGTGAACAGTTATTTAGTTTTCAAGCATTTTGACATGACTGCTATATAACTCGAATTCATAAAACATTAAATTATTATACTGTAAATTAAATCAAAATCTCAGAACTATGTGGGTTAATATTAAATGGTAAAATATATTAATTTTCTTTTCAAGATACGGGTTTCTAACTTGTAGCTTTAGCAGTTTCTCAAGTTCTAATTGCTTTCAATGGTCTTAGGGCACATTTTAAACAAGTGTTTTGAAACGAAAGTAAGTTGTTTCAATCATTGTAATTGTTTTCGCCTATTAAGCTAATGTTCACATAAAAAAGGTCAGTTCTGGAGATATATCAGTTGTGTATAATAATACGATCTTTAAGTATGAACATTTAGTGCACATTAATTTACCTCTTAGTTGTTGTTCTGTTGAAAATCAAAGTATAAATGATGATACAGACACTCGAAAAAAGTAAAATAATTAAAAGAAAGTCAGTTTTATAACATGCCTTACAGACTATTGTCTAAGAGGTCTCTCACGGCATGTTTTATTGAACTAGCATTAAAGTTGAAATTTGAACATTAGTTCTGAAGGAAGGCACCTTCATGGTTTGTTTGTTTAAAGTTAAACACAAAGCTGCACAATGGGCTACATGTGCTTTGCCCACCACGGTTATTGAAACCCAGTTTCTATCGTTTTAAGTCCACAGACATACCGCTGTGCCACTGGGGGGGGGGCACCCTCATGGTCTTCCCTTATGTAGAAGATCTGCAGATATTTAGTCAAACAGATAAGTAGATAATATATTAATAAGAAAAGAAAGATAAACAAGTAAGTAAGATATATACTAGTGGCAAGATAATTCCGATTCTACAATGATCAAAAGAGGAACTGATACAGCACAGATAAACTGTTTGTATATATATATAGTTCAATAGTATCCACTCTCATTTAAAACGTCTTACTTTTACAGCCTTTTTTTTTGTTTAAAGTAAACATTATCTTGTATTGCTTATAGTGCTGCCCATGTCAATAACTGAAAGTTAGAACTATGTGCTAACGCCACGGATACTACCATACAGAAGCCTATCCGAGTACTACGTGACTTTTAGTGTTAAGTTTGAACTTTTTGATGAATGCCTTAAAACAACTCACCAATGTCACTTGAGAGGAACGTTACCACATACTAAATGGTGCAATTTTCAGCTAAGTAGGCTATCTCTGTCAACATATTACCGAACATATATGGGTACGTCTTAGTCTTAACGGCCAAAAAGAAAAAAAACAGTATTGTAATTGAATGCGAAACTCACCTGCTAGCACTCCTGCCATATAGACGGTTCCTATTCTGAGTGACCCATGTACCATTTCTAGAGGCAGACCCACCATCACTTGAACCAGCAGGTTGAAAAGAAGGTGAATCCACCTGGTGGGAGATTTATCGAGTCAATAACTTGTTTTAAAGTCCATATACTTCCTTAAATAAGAACAAAAATCAATATGACAAGACCATTTAGCTTTTATTGCATACAATATTCTTTGAATCCAACGTTGAGATTTATTTATGAAATAAAGAGAAAACTTTAGTTTCATTATTGTTTCGACAAAAATATTCGGCACCAATTTCTTTTTCTTCACTATCCTCTGAACGATTTACATAAAATGTATTGTCATTCTAAAATTATAATGATTCCACACATCATCTTACGAGACTTTTAACCACTGAACTTGAATCATGGGTTTGAACATTTGTTTGAAGAACGTGTCTTTAAACATCTTAGTTCACGAGTATAGTGGTGAGTTAGTTTTAAAGTATTCCTAATAGCCGTTATATTTGTTAGTTTCCTGAAGGAACAACGCTTTTACTAGATATCCAATCAGTATTATCAGAATACTTAGACAAAAGTATTTTGTCATTGTGTTCCTTCTATTTGTACATATATCTGGCACAAACCAGATACTTTGATAAAAAGAAACTAATTCTTTGAGCTTGCTGATAAGGCTATTCATTCGTACCTCGGGGCATTTGTCCAAATTTATCTTGTGATACAACTTTATATATGCTCTGGTATTCTTACAAACAGACACGTACCTCTGAATGGGGCAAGAGTATATGATGTAACATTTTATTTTAGTAATTTGAGCTCCAGATGCCACCTAGTGGCACAAGTCATAGCACTTGGACCTACCCTGCATGAAGGACCATATAGAAGACAAATCTCCAGACTTCGACTCTTTTGTCTGGTCGATATATAAAGAGACTATCGATCGGGACCGGACCTGTAGTCGTGATTTCCCCCATGGTAACGGTGTAATAGGTGAAGAAACCCAGCTGCAAAGAAAAATAAATCTCGCATTTTTACAAATTAGTTACAGAGATACATAACATCAAGTTTTATTTAACTTTATCTTTTATTTAACAACAAAGATCTATGACACTTCATCTTGTATGCTAGTAAAGATTGTTACACAAAGAACGGTAGAGGAAATATAAATCTTGGCTCTTTAGTAAACGTAATAAGTTACAATATCAATATATATATATATATATATATAGTAGTAAAAAGGAACGAAACTCAATTAAGAACAATAATACACCACGAGACAGTGCTCCCATATTATTTGTAACAATATGTATGTATATATATATATAGTTATATAAGACAGATGGATTGATAGATAATGCCACTTCTTGTAATTAACTAGTTCTGTATGTGTAAACAAGCCAGGGAATGAAAAACCAGTCATCACGATGTACGGTGTACACATAGAACAATTAATAATGACGTGCAGTAGACTACCAAAAGCGTATTGCGAATTTATAATCCTCGTGAAACTATATACATGAGGGGCAGCTTTTATCTTGTGTCACCATGCCAGTAATGCGTAAGTTTGGTGAGCACAATCACTAAAAACAAAACATTTTAAATGTAAACAAACGTGAGCATTAAGTGTGGTATAAATCCAACGTATACAAGCTTATGTTGTAATTATAGTTTGTTCTTTGGAAAACAATGATTAATACAACGTTACTATACAAACTTATGTTGTAATTATAGTTTGTTCTTTGGAAAACAAAGATAAATAAAACGTTACTATACAAACTTATGTTGTAATTATAGTTTGTTCTTTGGAAAACAAAGATAAATAAAATGTTACTATACAAACTTATGTTGTAATTATAGTTTGTTCTTTGGAAAACAAAGATAAATAAAACGTTACTATACAAACTTATGTTGTAATTATAGTTTGTTCTTTGGAAAACAAAGATAAATAAAACGTTACTATACAAACTTATGTTGTAATT